TAAGAAATATAATTGGGAGTATGCTATCATGGCCAAACAGAAAGAGAAACCGCACAACTTTTCAACACCAGAGCAATGGCCCCAACCTTTTGGGCTTCCAGGCCCAGTTCCATGGAGAGAGGTTTTTCCAGGGACCGGAGGCGGTATGGTTTTGCGTGTTGCCTGCATCCTGCAGATGGGGCTTTGTTTGCATGGCCTGGTTTCTGGCATGCCACGGACCGGGGGTTAGGGACCCCTGCACTAGGACATATAGTCATATTACTAGTTATGTATGGGGGTTCACTAAAATCTAAACATTCATCTTTTTGCTAGTAAAATATCCATTTACCACAGTATAGTCTATGAATAATAACTGAATTTAACAAGCTGAGAAAAGAAAAAACCGTTTTAGAATTTTTATTGATACAATTGTCTGTTGCCACATTTGTGGCAAATCAGTTTTCAGATGTTATGACTTTCAAGACCTCCTTCTTATATATTTAAGCAAGTTATGGATAGTTTATGTGCTAATAAATTAAGCTAATAAAGGTGAAGCTGATTATCCACCATTTTTGAAATAATTACAACTACTTCTATTATTTTGGGGATATAGTCAGATTTCAAACTTTGCTCAAAATGAGAAATGGTAAAATCACCAAAACAAAAGTTGCAGCAATAGAAGAGATGGAATTAAGCAATACTTTTATCTTTATCTGAGTAAGCAAACAAAAAAGAAATTAAACACTTGAATGCAAAAATCAAAAACATAAGTAATACAGATTTTAATTTCCATATTATAAAGTACAGAAAGTGAAACCTATGGTCAAATACAAATTTAAACAAGTCACTTGTCCTTCCAAACAGTAAATCAGTAAGCTACCTATTAAAACAAAATTTTAAAGTAAATTTCAAACAAAATAAATACTGTACATACACTTTCCCTGCCTGCAGGCAAAAATGGAATGGGAAATTTGAGTAAATTGGGGGTAGGCGCTCTTAAAGCTGCAGCCTCCCATTTTCCAACCAAAAACTCCACATAGGAGTGTGTTTGTATAAAAAGGAGCAAAGAACACACAAATCTCTATTCAGAAAGACAGCTATTTCACCACACTGAAAAAATTGAGAATTTAGATTGACAGTAGAAAAAGGTATTGGGAAACAGACACATCAGCAAAGCACTACTACAAAACTAGCAAATATAGCCAAGACCTATCCCCTTTTTGCAAATGTAATGAATATCTTAAAAATGCCAAAGCACTGGCACAGTTAAACTTTTCCCAGCAGAAGTGATAATTCCTATTAATATATTCTCTTAAAGTGAATTATTTCATTCCCTTCTTACAGCAAGAAACTATTATGGCTTAAATTTTATATTCAAAGTTTTCTTCCAGGCAAAAATGCAGCTTTATCAGCAGCCGCATTTTGTAATCAGTGCTAATCTCATTACCATCCTGTTCTGCACAATACAGTCATTTTATTGTATACAGAACATTGCTCTTTTGGGGAAAAATGGAGCTGCAGCTCTTAATCCAGTTTAAACTACAAAGTGTAAGGCCTTTAATTCAATTTACATTTCTTTCACAAAATAAAATTGCCCTGGGTTTACCTGCTTAAGTCAATGAACAGATTTTTATGGTCTGGAAGCATGAATGCATGTTAGTATAAAAAAGTGAAAGGGGAGAGGTGTTTCTGTTTGTTTATTGCGGCACAGAAATTGTGATCAAAGAGGCACTATGCAAGGAATTGTGTAGAAAGTAATGCCTCTCAATTTCCTTCCAGTCACCAGCTATAAAGTTGGCAAAACCTGGAAGAAAGACTGGAGTTGCTTTCCATCCTAATATCCCTAAGTTTAATCATGGAAATTCTGGTGAATCAAAGTAATCTGAAGTATATAAAAAAACTTCAGTGAAATAATGTATCTTTAATTTGATTATGACATATGTTGTTACACTGAAGAACATTAATGTAATTATTTTAACTTTGACTGTGTTATTCAATCCTATCAAAAGTATTTGAAATGCATACATCAATGACAATGATTGCATAGGTAAATCTACCACAGAGATCATTTGAGGCTACACTGCAGCCTGAATTCAGTAAGCAAAGACTGTGGAACAATGAGAAATGTGGCTTAGAATGCTGCTGCTAAAATTGCTGCTCTAAAATCCTTCTGTCTTCAACATAACCCAAAACACTTTATTTTACCCAATTGGTTTAGGGAGGAAGAGGTCTAAAGTAATTCTAACCTACAGCTGAAATACTTGCCTACTTATATAAAAGAATCTTTCTCTGAATACAGATTCTACTGAGGATAGAACAAACTTGTGCCAAGTTTGGTTTAAATGTCCTTTTTGCCCTCAAGAAAATAAAACAAGTAGGGGGCTACATAATTAAATTCAGACATCTGCTACAAATGTAAAATCTGGTGCAATGGTGATTTGTATAAATGAAGCAACTAGCATACAAACAAGATTGCCCACTGTAATTTCCTTGTATTACTAAAAAAAAAATTTTATTTGCTTCTTCAAAATTAATTTTGATAGAGATATTTAACTTTGCCTTCCTCAAAACATTTAAAGCCCAAGAAATAGCCTTACTGAGGTGATAACAGAAGATTTGCTTCAAATTGTGTTTGAAACATGAAAATCCAGAATTTTATAATCAGAATTTTTATTTTAGTAATCTAAGAAGATATATCTCTATACTCATAACAACAGAGAACAATTGATGGGGATAGGCATCTGGGAAGAAAATGAGAAAAATGGAATAGAAAATATAATCTATCCGAAACTTACTCCTTCTCTCCCTCACTACCTCTTTTCTGCTGGTATGCATTTTAATGATTATGGTTCTCAGAGAAATCAGACCAGTTGTGACACTTATCAGTTATTCTGATCAATAAAGAATATATAATTTTAATGTATCATTCAGTTAATTGTAGCCTCAATGTTTTTTGCTTAACAGATGATGCTAGAAAATCACAAGAAGAAATAAACTGCTTAAAAAAATATGGCTTATGAAAATTACAACTAAATCAAAACCAGGTTCTTTCTAACAGTTTTTCTGCCTAAAAGACAGAATATAGTTTAAAACACGTGGAAAATACACAGTGCAAGCACATATTTTAATGTACCGTAGCCCAGTTAGAAGATATGACTCTTGAAACTCTCATTTTTTTATTATGATAAAAAATGAGTTAAAACTGATAAGTAAATTTCTTCTTTTTCCAAAAACCAATGTTGAGTTTTCACCCTGTAATCAATTCTCTTGGCAATGCCAGCAGTCAAGAGGTTCTTCCAGTTTTGTTTTTTCCTACATTTGAAATTTGTATGCTAAGAAAACTGAAGAAGGAAGGAAGGTAAAAAAAAAAGACTTATTTTCAAAACCTCAGATATATCATAGGTTGGTATCTGTTTGGTTTTTGTTTCTTTATTCTTCAGTTTCATTCAATGTATTCTTAAATCTTTTTTATTTATTGTGACAGCTTACTTCCTAATGGAAAGTGAAATCCATTATTACACAAATGCAATGCACTCGTGCAACTGAACTTCCCTCTCTAATTTACCCATCTGTTTTAGAAATTACCCTCAGCCCTCCAATATGATTTGAAAGGGACATGCTGCATGTGGGATAGAGAATCAGCCAGTTTTCCTGAAAAAAAAATATTTCTTCAGATTTCATTCTAGGAATATTAGCTTAATTTTTTTGGCTATCACTCTATTCATTTAAATGGGACAGTGGAAATGTCACTGAGAACTACAACCTTGAAATTTAGCTAAGGCCTAGTACCTGCAGTGACTAGTTTGATATGCAACAAAAATATAATTAGTTTAATTCAGATACGTTGGCACGCAAATGCAGAAAATACTGAATATAAAACTGTACAGCACAGAAAGGTCCTATTTTGGGACATCTAGATATGTTATTTTAGATAGGCCCAGAAGGCTGGGAAGTTTATTTAAGAAAGTCAAGCAGCTGAGTAGCTTTGGCCATGCTTTAACTCTTGATCAATAAGAAAACCAAACTACTAAAGCAGTATACCTAATATTCCTGCTCTAGTACTGAATAGCCCTCTTAGTAAAGTCAGATGATTTCCCATTTTTCCCCAAAAGAGCTTAAATATTCAACTTTATCTTACAAAAATATGATTTTTCATCTAGGTTATATACATGCATTTTAGAATCGGCATTTACTATCAGATCTTTGCCAAGCATGACATAAAGTATGTCATACTAAACTTCAAGAGCTATCAAACATATTTACATATTTACAAAAATGACTTAAGACCTTAATCAGCTGGCATGTGTAGACAATCAAACAATACTCTGCCACTATAACAGTCTTTCTTCACAAAATGTATTTAAATGTCTATAATTAAAATCAATACCTGTATTCCTACATGGGTGATGGCTATGGATTATTCTCCACATCATAGAAATAAAATAAAGGGAAGGGATAAAGCAAATGTTGCTCACATTATGCTAATTTATAATCCAGACTAAATGGTGAAACAAGAGGAGGAAATGGAAGTAATGAAGGAAGACATTTCAATGAACTAAACTATCAGAGACTTTGTACTTTAGGAGTCAGTAAAAAAGTCACCCATGGTGTTGTATAGAAAGAACTGAATCTAAGATATGCTTTCATGTCCTTAACTTAATAAATCATATAATATATCACGTCCATCTTTTAAATCTATTATCTCTATATCAAATGCTTGAATTCAGAACAAACAATGCAGCTCTCTCCATTTGCAGACAGACATTAAAGGCAAATAAAACCTTCACATTTTGACATTTTAAAATTAAAATAATTCCCCCAAAAGGTTTCAAATAAATAGCTTAAAATGAATTCAATCCTGGACAATATCTGACAAATAAATTATTGATTACCACTTTCATCACACTCTTCTGTTCATGAATTAGCTCAGACACTACCAAAGCATCAAAATGAGCCCTGAAAAACAGACCATTTTCCAATTCATAGTCTTTTCAAATATTTTCATTTCCCAAAAGTTATTGCTCAGCAGATGTGGCACAGTGAAAATGCAGCATTGGGTTTTTGTTCATCAGGCAAAGTTCAAATAAGATACATGCATTCTGCTTTAAGCAGAGGAATAAAACAGAAGCTCCAGGCACTGTTACCCTCAATACTGGTCTATGTGTGAAGAACAGCAGAAGCAGCTACTACATCAAACTAAGTATCGTACATGACCATTTCGGTTCAGTTTTAGAATTTTCCCAAGCCGTTGTTTGGCAGTTGCCATTCCTTTCTTTGGACGCTTGCCTGAAAGAGGAAAGAAACATATATATATTTATGAACATTATATTATAGTCCTTACATATAATTTCAAAATTTAAGAAAACAATATTGTGGAATCATAGAATTTAAAGTAGAGATCACCTAGTCAGTCCCTTGCTCAATGTAATATTCATAATAGTATATCTAATAGATTAGCCTCCAGACTTTTTGAAGAGCTCTACAAAAAAACAGAACTCACAACTTTATGTGGAGTCTGTTCCACTGGCTGACAGTTCCAACTGCCAGGAGTTTCTCCATGTTAACCCATTGGCTGTGGGCCTGCCCTCTCCTGTGTGAAATTTCTTCATATCTGAAGATTGGTATTGTATCCCATACATTAATGGGATCTGCCCAAACCAGAGAAGAGTGAGGCAATTCCCTCCAGTGATCTTGATTCTATGTTCCTGTCCTCGAAGAGAACATTTGCCTTTTTATCAGCTGCTTTGAGCTGGTGATTCTGCCTTATATTTTTCATTCTATATATAGAACTTTACATTTCTCCTGATTCAATTTCCTGTGTGGATCTTTTGTCTAGATTTCTCTCTTTCATCTAAGTCATTAGTTATCCTCCTAGCTTTGAAGTGTTTCCTTCAATACCCTCATCCAATAACTACTAAAAATGCATTGCATAAAAACACCATAGGATCCAAGAAACAGTTTTGTGGCACATGTTGAAATTAAAGCAGCATAAATGAACACAGGTGATACAGACTGTCCATCATCTAGTTGTATTCAATCCTGACGTCATATAGCAAGGATTCCAAATGCTCCTGTAGTAGTGATGACCAGCTGTTTATTTAACGGATTTATATACTATCAGCCAAGCTGAACCATGGAACTTTGCAGTGACTGTATTACAAGTAGTAAAATGATAAAATATCTCATTTAAAACATTATAAACCAACAAATGATCAATATCAATATGTAGTATATCAAGCACCATAATATCAAAACAGTCTACACAGCAAAATTAAAACACTGAATGTAGTTTTTAAACTCCAAAAACCTTGCTGAAGGAGCAACAGGAAGAGTGGGTATAGTATATAATTAATGGATGGATGGATGGATGGATGGATGGAGGGAGGGAGGGAGGGAGGGAGGGAGGGAGGG